CCTAACCCTGACCATATACTCTAAAATTAACCTCACTGAAACTTACACACACACACACACACACACACACACACACACACACACACACACCGTGGGGACCTTCCACTAACTTCCATTCATTTCTTTTAGACTTTGTATCCTAACCCTGACTGTTTACCCTAAAATGAACCTCACAGGTCACCTGACCCTAAAACTAACGTAAACCTCGATTCTAAATCTAACCCCACACCCGTCATTTGCGTTCGGAGTGGTGGGGACCGGGCACTGGTCCCCATGATGCACTTTGGTCCCCACGAGGCTGCTTTTTTGGGAAAGTTTCCCCCACATTGTAGGAAAAACCCGTCCACACACACACAGACATAAACACATAATGAATGGGTTTATATAAACCTATAAAATTTGTAGTTTTACAAATAAAGTATTGCACACACATAGCAGTGACCTTAATCATAACATACCCCCAAACATATAAAGAAACATTTAATCCAAAAAATTACATTTTAATACTCTCTATTGACATTGTCTAATTAGATTAGGAACATTTTGGAGGTGGATTGTAAGCATTAGTGCTTCAAGTAATTGATTGAAAGCCCTAATTATAGTTCATATATCCAACTCATTAAATCAGGGCTGCACAAGTTGCTCCATTAAATGTAAGCTTTTAGCTTTATTGAAAGTAACACAAACTGGAAACCACAATAACAGGTTCTAATGTTCAGCACGCTCCTGCAAATGGACGAGTGGTTTTTCTGGAATTTTACTGGCATCCAAACAGTACTAGATGAAAAGGTTTTATAGATTCTTCTAAAAATGTATAGAATTGGGGTCAGTTTGGCTTCCTGTGACAAAGAAATAAATATTGAATAGTGCAACACTTCCTGCATTATTTCACATCTCAATAAGAGATACAGGCTTCCTGCTTTGGCTCTGCAGCTGTACCTTAAATTATACCTTTGTTTTTAGGCCTAATGGAAATGTCAGAGGTTACACTCACTGCTACAGAGAGGCAGCTTGTCAGTGATTTTATTTGCTGAGCAGGTAATTAGAGATAAGTGTAGAAGTGGCTGTAAACATTGCAGGTTTATTAACTAGTGTCAGGAAAGAAATGCATATTCACACTGATAAAGCTGTAATTTCTGTTTAATAAGAAGAATTGAAGAATTATGTAACATTTCTAACACAAGCTAACTTCCTCAAGGATAAAGATAGCTTTGTGGATTTTCTCGTGAAAAGTCAGATATTTGCAGCTTAAAGTATTTAATGTTTGTTGCTAACAAGGTCATAAAACATATTTTCCATGGCTCCTTTTGACTAAGTAGTTTTCCACCATCTTTTTCTTTTGCAGCATGACACACGTGTGCTGCGGGTTAAAGTCATCGCAGGAATTGATCTGGCAAAAAAAGACATCATTGGTGCCAGGTAAGTGCCATAGGATTCTTTATTTTTTGAAGATGTGCTATAAGAAAATACTTTCAGAGATGTTACCTAATCATATTAGCACAACGGTTCTCAAGTACTGGGCCTTGCACCTGCTGTGAACGCTTCTGCTCTTCTTTTGTTAAATCAGACAGAATCATCACTTTTGCTGGTTATTTGCATTCTTAAGATAAGAAATTTATTGCTGTCTTTACTTTAATAATTTGCCAGGGACATTTATGTAAGGAAAGCCAAGATAAAGCCAAATGGTAAAGCATTAGTCATTATCTTTAGCATCCTGCTCTTTGACTCTAAGGGTCTCCTTTTGTCTGTCTTTTTTGCCCTGGACAGTACAATGTTGTGAACTTTCACTACACTCTTTATAGCTGCAAAGACCTTGAACTCCCAAGTGTTAATCAATGATCACCAACCTCTTCTATTGTATGCATAATCCACCTCAGTCGCAAATGATCCAGATAGAAGACTTTGACTAATAATTAAACGCACCACATTCTTTGTTACCCGTGTAAACACACAGATGTTATGCAGCGTTTAAAAAAAAAAACTTTGAGCTGCCAGAAAACATTCTCCTGTGAATTGTTCTCCAAATTCCCTGTTTTATAATGTTTCTTTTTGTATTTTTGAATAATTAAGCAACTTTATGCCAACCCATAAAAATGTAATAACCTACAGCTTTGTACTTTGAGTGACGAAACTTGTTAAAAATTGATATTACAGCAAGTGATGAGACTTTACTGCTGCTACCACATGCTATCAGCTATTTCCTTTATGTGCAAAATGTAGCAGTCTTAAAAATACTTTTAAATGCTGGAAAATTGCATTTATATTCCACAGTTTGCTTTAAGTGGCCTGTAAATATGACCTCATATTGATAAATACTATTAAATACTTTTATTTTAGTGTACTTTATTATTTTTCCAAACGAATGAAACCCAACTACAATTCAAATACTACAAATACTACAATTCCAGAATGTTAAAACTCTGAATTTTAGGCGTACTTGCTTAGGAAATAAATGAAGGATTAATTAGATAGTTGTTCCTTCATTTTTTATGATTTGACAAGGTAACCCGATTAATATTTCAGCTGTGGAAGGAAAAGAAATAAGTTTTAAGCTCTTAAGATTCAAGCGTTATTAAAGGATCGGTGTCTGCAGTGATGTTGCTTTTTTTTCCTCCTCTCGACATCACACATCCAATACAGCAGACTCGTGGAGGGCTACGTTCCAGTGCTCGGAATGCCTGAATAGGTCTGTACATGAAAGTGTGATGCTAACACAAGCCCAGGTGATGGCATACTGGAAAGGAGGCTGACTGAATGTAGGCTATTGTTGTGTTTTAGTAACATGCTGAATAAGAACCTCTAGATGAAGAGGTCGAAGAACAGGATTGGTCAATGAGACAACAGCTGCACATTTCGGGACAGCAAACAAAAAATTACAACAATATGACAAGCGCAAGCCTCGTCAGCTTTTATACTCTTGATTATAGTAATGTCTGATATCATCTTGGCATGTTTAACACTGTGGGAGCTGCGCTCACACCAGAATGAGCGAGCATCCTGGTACACTGCTGGCTGGACGTCTCAGTCTGACTGTGGTAAAACGCTGAACTGTAACAAAGAAACACTGAGGTTTTGATGTGTGGCTAGTTACAGACTGCTGACTTGGCAGTCTGTCACATTTTGAGAGGCTCAAACAGTGCCAGCTTGTTCTTCCCTTTACTCCAAATGGCTTTCTCTTCATTTTTTGTTTCAGCTATGTTCCTTCGTGTTTTCTTTTCCTGACTATGTTGATGTTTTTGTTTTGGGTGACTGTGGTAGAGTGGATAGGGGAGTCGTGCCAGTTCAGTCCCCTGATCCAGCTGTCTCTGTCGTTGTGTCATTGGGTAAGATGCTTAACCCGCTTGCCTGATGGTGGTCAGAGGGTCCTGTGGCACTGGTGCATGGCAGCCCCGCCTCTGTCATTGTGCTCAGGGCAGCTGTGGCTACAGTGTAGCTTACACTGTGTGAATGTGTGTGTGAATGATTGAGGTGTAAAGTGCTTTGGGGTCCACATGGACTTGATAAAGCACTATATAAGTTCAAGCCATTTACCATTTGGTTGGGGTGAGTATTGTTGGTAGAACCTTGTTAAGCTTTCATGCAGTTGAATTAAATGTTAACTGAGTTAAAGTTTAAATCCGGCAGTAACCTCTGCTATCTTGATCTACCACAGCAGAAAAGTGAAGATGGATGATAGTTTCTGTTTGTGTCTGTGTGCTTGTGACTTTTGGAGTCAACTTGACTCGAGATGGTTGTTAACTCACCCCAGATCAGTGTGGTACCAATCCTATTTTCCTCAAAGCCCCCCAATTTCTTACTTCCAATACAAGCTGCCCCCCCACCCCCAAATTCCTTGCTACTCCCCACCTCTCCGAAAGGCATGATCAACCTCTTTTTATCAAAATAATAAAAAAAGAAAGTGAATGTATTCATGCGCAGAAAGGAAATGATAAAAATGGAGGAAAGAGAGATTCAAACATCTTCGTTGAAGGCAAAGATTTGTTTTTTTACTGAATGAGCCGAGTTTGACACGAGCTTCACTGTGTGCAAGGTTTGCAAAATGAACATCAAGCACTTTGGGAACACGACAAATGCCGCCGGCTTACATTGTCAGTTCTGAATGAAAATTTGATTTTGAATCAAATCGTGAAATAGAAAAAGATTCCCATCCCTAATATTTTCCCAACCTCTGATCAGACAAGGTTACAGGCCACCCTTGTTGGGCCTTAGTGCAAAAATGGCTATAAATCAATGAATTATATATGTTGTAGTTGTTGAGTCATTGACAATACATACTCTGAGTGTGACATCTCAGCAATTGTGCATAACATTAATTTCTAGGTTTGACCAAAATGATTAGAACTGTCATTTTTTTAGCACAAGATATTTTAGTCTAAAAATCTGTCATGAAAGGCGGTGGGCAGTGTACATTCCTTCATGGAATGTTAGGTCTTTTATTAATTTTCTTGACCTGAAGTTGCCCGTCTGTCTCCCTCCAAGGGTTTTATTAAAAGGAGGAAGGAGAAAAGAAGTCTTTGAAAAGCTGCGATACAGCGGGCTCATTGTTATTTAGTCACAGCACATCACAGAACCACACAAACATGCAATTAGAGGCTATGGGGTTGCTGAAGACATTAATTAACAATTAAGAAGCAGCAGGTTTACATAAGGGATATGTTTTCAGCTTATTCTTTGGATTCTTTTTGCTCTCTTTCTTTAGCTTCCTCTGAAACTTCCTCGTTCATATGAAATGTAAGGCAGTATTCTAGTTGACAGGCTGAATCTAAATAAGGGTATATATTTGGATTGGAATTAGATTTCTCTTCAGATCCAGTTTTAATGTCAGGAAATCTGTTTGGCAAATCAAATTAAAACTGATTTCCGGATGGTTTGAAACATGATCAAATCTACTTTTGCACTGCAGTGGTTAAAATTAAAAACAGCCTAGCAGGCACATGCAGCAATTTGGAGATGGTGAAGGAGGATTTAGGTGAAGCGCACTGGTCACTGGTGTTTCTTTTATTTTTTTACTTTTTACAGCAGTCTCACTTTACTGCCAATCTGATTTCTGTGACAGAGAACAAATTCATGCAGCGAGCAGTCTGTTCTGATCCTTTTTCTCATTTATTTATCTGGTTTAGAAGCTTTAATAAACTTTGAACTTTTTTTTTAATATCTGGCCATCACAGCTACTACCAGTTTCATGTTCTTGTAGGTGAAATAGTCAACTATTTGCGGACCACAAACTGTTACCACAAGGTTAACATGTTGGCGAAAACAAATGCTGTCAGGCATGACTGAGGTGGTTTGTCTATTTTGCTGGAGTTGCATAAGCTTTTTCTCAAGAAAGCTGTGGTGAGTTACTCTCTTAACATAGGGTGCTGATTCACTTGCAGCAAAAACAGGAAAAGAAAGGAACAAATCCTTACTAGACTTTTTACTTTATTAGAGTAAGTCTAAGAAATAGGTCTGAATAATATGTTGCTAATCTATTTATTTGTTTAAATTTATAAAGAAAGATTGACACAAACAAAAACATTCCTAGACAATCCTTCATTTTGCACAAGTTTTTACACTGAACCTTTATCCCCAACATCCTGGTGGATATCCTCAGCGTTAATACACCTAATGTACATTAACTATAAGACAAATAAGTCAGTCACATGACTCAAAATAAATACAGCAGGTAAAATAATTATTGAACACGTCAACATTTTTCTCAGTAAATATATTACTAGAGGTGCTAATGACATGACATTTTCACCAGATGTCGGTAACAACCCAAGTGATCCATTTATCTAATACTTTGTACAAAAGCCTTTGTTGTCAATGACAGCTTCAAGACGCCTCCTGTATGGAGAAACTAG